ATCTCATTTCTTATACAGGTTATGGTTATCTGCTCGCTTTCCTGTTTTTCTTTTGTCAGTTTGGCCAATGGTTTATCAATTTTGTTGATCTTTTCAAAGAACCCAGGTTTGGGTCTTGTTAACTCTTTAATCAATTGTTCCTCTATTCTCTATTTCATTTAAGTCTGCTCTAATTCTTATTATTTCCTTTCTTCTGACATCTGGGGGCTTCTTTTGCTGCTCTCTTTCTACTTGTTCCAGTTGTAGGGTTAATGTTTGATTATGGCCCTTTCTTCTTTTTGGACGTGTGCATTTATTGCTATAAACTGACCACTGAGCACTGCTTTTGCTGTGTCCCAAAGGTTCTGGTAGGATGTGTTTTCAGTCTGGTTTGATTCTACAGATTTCTTTATTCCATCCTTAATTTCTTCTATAACCTAGTAGTTTTTGATGAAGATGTTATTTTGATTTGTTTTCCTTGTGTTTGATTTTTTTCCTTGGTTTTTCTTTTATTGATTTCTGCTTTTATGGCTTTATGGTCATAAAAGTTGTTTTGTAATATTTCAGAGCTTTGGATTCTGTTAAGACTTGCTTTATGGCCTAGTATGTGGTCTAGTCTGGAGAATGTTCCATGTGCGTTGGAAAAGAAAGTATACTTGTGTGCTGTTGGCTGGAGTGTTCGGTATATATCTGTGAAATCAAGTTGGTTGATAGTAGTATTTAGACCTTCCGTGTCTTTGTTGAGCTTCTTTCTGGATGTTCTGTCTTTCACTGAGGTCTCCTACTATTGTTTTGGAGCTGTCTGTCTCTCTTTTGAGTCCTGTTAGAGTTTGTTTTATGTATTTTGGAGCCCTGTTGTTGGGTGTGTAAATATTCATTATAGTTATGTCCTCCTGGTGCATTTACCCTTTAATCTTCATTTAGTGTCCTTCCTTATCCTTTGTGGTAGATTTTCCTTTAAAGTCTATTTTGTCAGAGATTAATATTGCCACTCCTGCTGTTTTTTGTGTGTTGTTTGCTTGATATATTTTTTCCACCCTTTGAGTTATAGTTTGTTTGTGTTTTTAAGTCTCAGGTGTGTCTCTGGTAGGCAGCATATTGACAAATTGTGTTTTTTTATCCAGTCTGCCACTGTCTGTCTCTTTATTGGTGCATTTAGTCTATTTACATTCAGCGTTATTATTGATAGATATGAGTTTAGTGCTGTCATTTTGATGTCTGTTTTTGTGTGTTGTTGACATTGTCTTTGTTCCACTTAATTTTCTGTGCGGAGTCGTTTTTATGTATTTTCTTTTCATCTTTTTCATGTTGTAGGTTTTGTATTTGCTCAGACTTTATATTTTTCTAGTTTTTTATTTTGACTTGTAGGATTGTTAGTTTCCTTTGTGGTTGCCTTAATATTTACGTCTATTTTTCTGAGTTTATACCAGTCTTTTATTTCTTTATATCGCCTTGACTTCCTCTCCGTATGAAAAGTCTATGTTTACATTTTTTAAGTCCCTATTTTTTGTTTTAATGTTGTCATCTTTTACATACTGACATCTGTTTCCCTATTTTCAGCATTTCAGCTTTGGTTTATTTTTGTGACTTCCCTACCGGGGTTGATACCTGGTTGCCCTGTCCTGTGTTCTCGTCTTGGTTGTTATCTGATGTTACTGATTTTCCCACCAGCGGACTCTCTGTAGTATTTCTTGTATTTTTGGTTTGGTTTTTGCAAAGTCCCTAAACTTCTGTTTATCTGGAAATGCCCTGATTTCACCATCATATTTGAGAGAGAGTTTTACTGGATATATAATTCCTGGCTGCCAGTTTTTTTCCTTCAAGGCTTTATATATGTCATCCCATTGCCTTCTTGCCTGCATGGTTTCTGCTGAGTAGTCTGAGCTTATTCTTATTGACTCTCCTTTGTAGATGACTTTTCATTTATCCCTAGCTGCTCTTAAAATTGTCTGTTTATCTTTCATTTTGGCAAGTTTGATCATGTCTTGGGGACTTTCTTTTGGGATCTAATGTGGGGTTCGATGAGCATCTTGGATAGATATCTTGTTATCTTCCACGATAGCAGGAAAGTTTTCTGCCAACAAATCTTCAACAATTCCCGGTGTATTTTCTGTTATTCCCCCCCCTTCCCCCCCCCCCCAGTTCTGTAGGTTGTTCCTCTTGATAGAGTTCCAGATAATTCTTAGGGTTTCTTCATTTTTTTTTAATCCTTTAATCTGATTTTTCTCAAATAAGTTGGTGTCAAGTGCTTTATTGTCAATCTCACAAATTCTGATTTCCATTGCCTCAATTGTGCTCTTGTGACTTTCTGCTGAGTTGTCTAATTCTGAAATTTTATTATTAATCTTCTGGATTTCTGATTGCTGTCTCTCTATGGATTCTTGCAGCCTGTTGAATTTGTCATTATGCTCTTCTCTAATCTTTTTAATTTCCTCTATTGAGTGTGCTGCATTTTACTTAATTTCCTTCCTAATCTCTTGAAGAGCTGTGTATATTAATCGTTTGTATTCAGCCTCTGGTAATGCCAAGAAATTTTCCTCCCCTGGAAAATTTCTAGATTCTTTATTTTGGGAGCTTGCTGAAGCCATCATGGACTCCCTCTTTATGTGATTTGATATTGGCTGTTGTCTCCGAGCCATCAATAAGTTATTATATTTATTTATTTTATGTTTGCTTACTGTGTCCTGGCTTCTTGTTTTGTTTTGATATGCCCAGATAGGCTGCTCCTGTGAGTTAGTTTGATTATTGGCACCTTTGAAGTTCTAATGTCCTGTTACCAGGTGGTTAGATCTCTTACTAGGTATGTCAGCCCAGGAGTCCGCCGATTCCTCCTGTATGGAGTCAGCTCAGGTGCCCAGGTAGATAGCCACCAAGTGTGTCGTGTAGGCTCTCACTTACAGTCTGAGACAGGCATGGGTGATTGGTGTAGGCACAGACATCTGGTTTCAGCAGTGGGACACACTCTGAGCAAGGCAGGGGGCTGATGGCCGCCCCCGAGTATTCATGAAGACGTGTCCCTGTTCCCTGAAGCGTGTAGGTGGGTGGGTTTTTCAGCTGGATTATGAGCACCTAGTGCTGTTGGCTGTAAGGACTAGGAGGTACCTCTTATTTTTGGGCCCTTATCTCAGGTGGCTAGGTGGCATGGGTGGTGCCACCAGTCCTCAGGTCCCTGATGTGGGTAGGTGAAGACCTTGCTTAATGGGCAGAGCAGTGTCAGATGTCACGAACCTGCCACTTTATAGCTGAAACAGTGGAAGTTAGACTTAAGGTGTATACCCTGTCGTACTGAGGTAATGAGGGCTTACTCTGTTGAAATGGGCCCACACAAGCCTGTGCAGGTGGAAAGGCTCTCAAAGTCCATGGATCCATTATGCCTGTCCCTAGGCAAAGGAACTGTGCTTACCCTGAGTTCCTAGCTTAGGGGAGCCAGCAGTTTTTTTTTCTTTCTGTTGTTTGTTAATTTGTTCACTCTTCAAGGCCGGGAAAATGGCTCAGGGCACGATGGATCCTACTTCTGGCCCAGGGGACTTGGCAATAGCTGAAGCTGGTCTGGGACCCACTGCAGAGTAGGGAGAGAGGAGGTAAATGGTAGAGAGGTTTTTCCCTATTTGGTGTGTTTTTCATCTGTGTGGTAGGCCTGATGCAAATTCTTATCTTTCGGCGATCTAGGTCTGCTTCTCACTGGTTCTGCGTGGCTGAGTAGACTCTCTGCCTCTGGGTCTCTCCTGGTGTGGAAAACGCACCTCCCGAACACGGCTGCTTGCCTGCCTTACCGCTCACCCCTGAGCTGCTCAGGCCTGAAGGGTTAGGCTCTCGCCAGGTCAGGTGTGGCAACTCCTCCCTGCTTCCGAATCGTCTCTCCCTCTCCCTGCCACTCAGTCCAGTTCCTGAACTTTGCCTTAGATGTTCAGGGCTCTTAGATTGTCATATATAATTGATTCACTTGTTGTTTTGGGTCTTTGTTGTGAGAAGGTCCACCAGAAGTATCTGACTACCCTGCCATCTTGTCCCCGCCCTCCCAGTGCATGTTCTCAAGAGAGAATCTGATTGGCTGCACTTCCTGTTTGTTTTAATCAGCTTCATAACTGTTTGACTAGTCTTTGGATACAATGCGTTTTCATCAAGTTCTCTTTTTCCATTCATTGCTGGCTGAGAGAAGGAAGGATGGCTTAATAAGAAACTTGGTCACCAGTGAGACTTTTAGCCACAGGCGTTATCAAACTATATCCTCTAGATGGGGCTGTCTCTAATCATCACCAAAACCTTATACACTGGGTAGTTTATATATTCTAGCTCTCAAATTTTTATCTTCATCTCATACATTTCCATTGAGCCTCCATAACAGTGACTTAATTTACAACCCTATTTAGATGTCTCAGTATCTCAGTCCAGCATGTCCATAACTGAAGTCATGTTTTTTATCCTTAACCTGCTGTCCCAGTGCTGCTGTTTCACTAAAAAGCATCATGAACTATTTAGTCCCTTAGTCAGCATCCTGGTACTCATCCTTAATACCTTTTTCTTTCTTGTGTTGGAAATTATAATGAGTTTCTCTTACTAAAGGTAGCGTACTAACTGAAAGGTTGGTGGTTTGAATCTCCTCAGAGGCACCTCAGAAGAAAGGCCTGGTGATTTACTACTGAAAGATCACAGCTATTGAAAATCCTATGGCGTTTCCATGAGTTGGAATTGACTTCATGGCAGCTGGTTAGATTTATGAGCCTTGAAACATATATTTCAGTTAATTGGACCTTTTTTAAAACTTTTGATTTGTGGACTGTGTTCTTATTTGTTGTAAGTCTAAACTCCAGTTAGTAGTGATATTAATTTTCTGAAATGAAATTGGAATGTCCTAATGTTAGGTTTAGGCTGCTAACCATAAAAGGTTGGTAGTTCAAATCCACCAGCTGCTGCTTGGAAATGCTACAGGGCACTTCTCTGTCCTATAGGGTCGCTGTGAGTTGGAATTGATGGATTTGGTTGGTTGGTTTTTTAATGGTAGATTATTTTTGTAATTTTAGGCTGCAAAGGAACAGACTCAAGATTTAATAGTAAAAACCACTAAGCTTCAAGCTGAAAGGTAAGTTTTCTTTATAAAGTCACCTGTTGGTTAATCTAGGGGTTGAGTGGAAAGAAAATTATAGATAACACCAAATCAAAGTGAAAACAAAGTAATAAAAAACATGATTCAAAATTGATACATGTATTCATGCTATAAAATAAACAGAAGACAATAGTTTAATAGCACTAAGATGATTTTTGGGGTAGATGGATTATTTCCTTATTGGAATAGAGCTGGTGATGTGTTTTTCGTTTGTTGTTTGCTATGGAGTTTGAAAATAATTGCTTTCCAAAGATGTAGATGCTTTCAGATTTTTAGTAATTTTATTTTTTTTCCACAAGTTCATTATCCTTTGTTTTTTTTAAACCAGATTAACATCCTCTACTATAATTAAGAGTTAATTGTGTAAATTCTTCTTGTTGTAGTTTACACAAATAGGTATACTAATATTTGTTGACTGAATGAGTGAATGAAGGTGAGTACACTTTGAAGCAGTGCAATATGTTATATTGAATATTATTAAGCTAAAACTCATTAATAGTGCATCTCATGTTTTGGTGTAGTGTAGAGAGGGAAAAGCATTCCACCAGGAGGCAGTATACCTTTCTGCCACCTAGTAGCTGGGTATTTTACTTAAACCTCTGAGTATTCCAGGTGTTTCATCAGTAATGAGGAGATATTACTACCTTAACTGCCTGTTAGTGACTTATATACTATAGTATAGACCAGTGCCCACAGGCCAAACCCAGCCCACCACCTGTTTTTGTAAATAAATGGTATTGGAACACAGCCTTGCTTATGTGGTTACATACTGTCCATGGCTACTTTCACATTAGTGTGGCAGAGTTGAGTGATTACAGCAGAGCCTGTATGTGGCCCACAAAGCCTGCATAGTTACTATCTGGCCCTTTACAGAGAAAGCTTGCCAACTCCTGGTCAAGACCAGTGGTTTTCAAACTGCAAGTCAAGACCAATAGGTTGAGAAAGCATTTAAAGGGATCAGGACTAACGTACAAGAGAATGAATTAGAAAAGAATAAGACAGAAGATAGTTTGGATAAGTATTTTGTGAAGCCTTTGTTTCAGTTTCTGGTAATGGTGTATTCATGGAAAAGAATCAACATAAATCCAGTCCCCCAAGTTTGAAGGTTAATCAGATCTCCACTTTCCAACTTCTCAATCTTTATCTCTGATACCAGCTTCCAACGTGGCATTCCCTCTTTGCCCCTAGCCATCTGGAACTAGGTCAGAGCTCAGAAGTTGAAAAGACACTGCCCTTCAGAGTGCCAAATAGACGCCAACTGCATACTCAGGAGTCCACATGACACCCTTGTTGTTGTTGTGTGCCGTCGAGTCGATTCCTATTCATGGTGACCCTATATTACAGAGTCAGACAGCCCCATAGGGTTTCCTAGGCTGTAATATTTATGGGAGCAGATCACTAGGCCTTTTCTTCCGTGGAGCCACTGGTGGGTTTGAATTGCCCACCTTTTGGTTAGCAGCTGAGTGCTTAACCATTGCACCACCAGGGCTCTTTCACGATACCTTTACTGGCTGCAGATTCGGAGTTTTCCTACTACCCTTTCAGGATGCCAGCTGCAAGCTTGAGGGCCTCCCCTGGTCTCCCTTGCTTTCACATGTTGGTTCCCACTAATCCTTTGGGTTTGATAATTCGCTGACATAACTCACAGAGCTCACAGAAATTACTAAATATACGGTTACAAATTTGTTATGTGAAAAGGATATAATTTAGGATCATCATAAGGGTGAGTGATGCATGGGTGAGGTCTGGAAGGCTTCCCAATGCAAAGCTTCCATATCCCAAAGAGGGTGTACCATCCTCCCTTCACCAGCTAGGGAGTTGTTTGGAGTCTCCATGTTCAGAACCTTTAATGACTTCACCAGGTAGCCGTGATTGAGGCCTAACTGCATATGCATGATAGGTTAAATCAAGCCTCCTGGGTTGATACTGGGCTACTAGATGGTCTTTCTGGTCTGGACAGCCCTCATTGATTAGCAAGAATCCTCGGGTGTGGTCTGGAAGTTTTATATAATAAAGGTACCTCAATTACGCAGGAAGTTCCAAGGCCAAATTGCTTTTTTTTTTTTGGTTAGGTGAGTCATTACTGCACAGTATAAAATGAACCTCTTATTGTAGGTCATGGTCAAAAGAATTTGAAAAATACTGCCCTGTGTGAAGAATCACAAGTACATGGCCTCTGCTGCTCAGTGTGGCATCCATTAGTCTCAGCATTCACTCATATTGAACCCTTAATGCTTCTCAGCACAGTTGTCTTAACTTTAGACTAAGATACGATGAATGGGAAATTATAAAGAGTGTAGAGGTGTAAAGTTACTCATGTCAGTGGATATCATGGGTCTCAGGACTAGAAGGGACTCAGAAATCAATTGAAATGATCTCTTGCAGTTGAGACAGCAACTAGTATAACTTCACTATCTTATAGAAACATGGTGTAAAATGTAATAAAATGAAATATGTACCAACATCATTTTAAAAACACTCTTTAGCAAATAGCACAAAGCAAAGCAGCAACATTTTCTTCACACATTCAGTAAATAGACTGTTGAATATTGGAACATCTACCTTATCTTATTAGACCAGTGGTTTTCAAACTGTGTCCCATTGAACCTTAGGGTTCCTTTACAAGAATTAGGAGTATATGGAGTTTTTGGAGTCAGAGCCTCTCATACTAATTTTAGTTAAAGCAATTTTACTTTTTTCGTTTTATATATTAGAATTCCATTTAACAATTTGTTTAAAAAATGATTTGACAGGTGAAAAAATGTAAAAACTGTGTCCCGTTTTAAGACTAGTTGAAATATAACACAGAATAAAATAATTTTTCTTGATTCTGTTCCTCGTGTCAGAGAAAAACCTTAAAGTTAAATGTCATAGCTTTATTGAAGCTTAAGCATAATTTCATGCTTTTAGATCCTTTTTTTCCCTTTACTGGTTATCTTCTCTTCCACTAAAACTTACTTTTATCTGTACTGTGATTTCTGCAAGCCAAAAGGAGAGAGCTTCAGTGTCTTTCTCAGCATTATACAGTTGAAAGTTGCTATCTTAGTCATCTAGTACTGCTCTGTCAGAAGTAACCACAAGTGAATGGCTTTAACAAAGAGAAATGTTCTCTCACTGTCTAGCATGTTACAAGTCCAAATTCAGGGCATCAGCTCCAGGTGAAGGCTTTCCAAGGAGCTCTGTTGGCTCTGGATGAAGGTCTGTGTCACCAGTCTTCCCTTGGTCTAGGAGATTCTCTGTGCAGGAACCTCAGGTCCGAAGGACACGCTCTGCTCCCGGCACTGCTTTCTTGGTGGTATGAGGTCCCTCTGTCTCTCTTCTCACTTCTCTCTTATATCTCAAAAGAGATTGGCTTTAAGACACTAATCTTGTAGGTCTCATGAATATAACTGCCACTAATTCATCTCATTACATCGTAGTGATAGAATTTAAAACACATAGGGAAATCACATCAGATGACAAAATGGTAGATAATCATACAATACTGGGAATCATGGCCTAACCAAATTGACACATATTTTTGGGAGACACAGTTCAAACCATGACAGTTGCCAAGGTAGGAATTGAGATTAGGTGCTCTGACCCTAAATTCTCTTTTGTCATTTGACATTACAGTTAGATGTATTTCATAACTGGACAAACAGTCCTACCCTCAGATTGGTGTTTAATGAGTTGAAGTTGACCTGCAAGTACATTTCTAGTACTTTTCCGGGCTTACTTTCCATCCTGTCTTCTTTAACATATAATTAAAGACTTGAGAGAAGAAATAGATTACATACTTGAAGAACTGTGAATAACACAAAGTGTGGAAAGTTAAGTGTAGGATAACAATAACAGAACCAAGCTTTTAAGAAAAAGCAAGGTATCTACAAGAGGATGATTAGGATGATAAAGGGTCCAAAAAATGGCATAGGGTTGAAAAAAATGGAAATATTTATTTAGAAGTATAGGACTAAGAAAGACATGTTGATTGTCTTCATGTATTTGATGATCTCTCTTATTTAAAAAAAGGTTAGATTTATTCTTTATCGGCACTGAGATTGGAACAGGTCTCAAAGAAGGAATTTATAGGTGGCTAATTTTGGCTCAGTATAAGCAAGCATTTTCTGCCTGTTACAAATTGAACAAAATGTTTTCTGTCTCGGGAAATACTTAGATTGGTGTTAGGTGTCTTTTGGAACCATCTGTGATTTTCTCATGATTTCTCTTTTCGTTCTTCCCTCACAGTGCTACTATTCAGGTACCCTTCACCTTATCACAGTATAGATAACACCCACCTGGGAGCTTGATGAAGTGCCAGATGCTAGCCTTTATCCTCAGAGATTCTGACTGTATGAAATTAAACAAGTGTTTTCTGGTTAATGATTCAGTAGATCTGGAATTAGGCGCAGGGCTCTGCCTTTTTAACAGTATCCCAGGTATTTCTATGCACTTGGCCCAGAGACTGTATTTTGAAAAACCTTGCCTTTGCCAAAATATTATTCATGTTTTCTTTCTTGAGTGCTCATTATGGAGTCTCTGTAAAGCATCGTTGTTTTTAAATTTTTTAAAGGGTTATCAGGAATTTAATTTTAAATGCTTTGAAAAGAATAAGTAGGCTTTAACTCGTATACCTCTTCCTTCATGAACTGTCTAGAAGTAATCTCTCTGTAATTTTATGAGACTTTATTACTGTGATATACTTAGTGAAATAAATCAGACATTGCTGGTCTCTTTGGATTAGAACGAATAGTTGACACTCCTCACTGGCGTGGTAACAGGCCTTTATTGCTTACATATTAATCAGGATGGTGATAAACGGAGTAGGGTTTATCAAGAGCGGGGAAAAAAAACCCAAACCTGTTGCGGTCGAGTTGATTCTTACTCATAGTGATCCTATAGGACAGAGTAGAACTGCCCCATGGGGTTTCCAAGGAGCGCCTGATGGATTCAAACTGCTGACCTTCTTGGTTAGCAGCTGTAGCCCTTAACCACTG